GATGTTCTGCATATTAACTGTTCACCTACAGTCAATGATACATTAATACCTTAGAAAGTTAGAAAGGGATTAAGAGTTGAGAGATATACATCTCTCGGTATATATACAATGTACACCAAAAGTGTCTTGGTGCACCGATGCAACTATTATATATATATATATATTTTATATATATATATATATATATATATATATAATATATTATATATATATATTATATATATATAGCGAGGTACCACCTCCAGAACTGTTCTGGGGACCCTCATCCTCAGAGAAAAGAATAAACTTGCTTCAGGGAAAACTCAAGGTTCTCCCTGAAGCTGTTTGGGAATTTTCTCCTACCACCCCTTATATATGATAAATATTTTATTTAAAGGCAAAATACATTGACAAAACATTCACAAAAATACAAAAGAAAGTAAAACAACATAGATAACAACTCAGAGCTACATCTCGAATACTTCGTCCAGCTCCCCTGCGGTGGGCCACGTGTCCAGAATGCTGCAGCCATTTCCTCTCTGGATCGCAACACTGAGTCTCTGAAATAGGAAGCTGGTCGCCCTGTGGTCCTTGGTTTCTATGACGAGCTTTTCACCCAGCTCTTTGAGGAACTTAAAGCACACTTGCCCCATGCTCCAAGAGTATCCGACACTATTGGGATGAAGTTATAGAAAAGGGTAAGGTCTTCATATTTGCGGGTCTTCTGGGTCTCCCTGTGGCTGGCAGCTCCACCCCCTTCAGCTTCGGAGTATGGCAAGTAGGTGTCTGCCAATGTGGCGGCACAGGTGTAGTCCCAGGCAATCTGCTTTCCATCTTTCCAGGGTAGCATAGTGGCTCCATCAGGACGCTTTTGACTTCTGTCAGACCTCTGCACTTGGGGTTCCCATTGAGCTGGGCAACGGGCTGTGGCGAGGCTTCTCTTTATGATGTCATTGACCTCCTCATGTCTGGCATACTTCCCTTCTGCTGTGTGACACACGAGACCATGAAGTCCGAATTGATTAGCTGACGTCCTGCCGCAAATACACCTATGTTCGGTGAGGACAGGGGCGGCTAGGCGAAGAGCAACACCAATCCGAATGGCCTGTGGGTCGAGTCGAGTGCCCAGGGAGGAATTGGGAACAGCTAAAAGGAAATCTGAGTGGGGTGCCTTCACTGCCAGGAGACGAGCTTTGTCCTTTCCTGAAGCGTTGGTGAGCATTGTGTTGGCGATTTTTTCCATGATCGGTTTGTCCCAATGAGACTGTTTGTGTTCTTTGGGAGGAGCTGGTCTACTGAAGGAGTCTGCAAGGGTGTCCCACTGACTCGCTGCTTCAGTAAAAATTGGGATCTTGAGTCCCTACCACGCCTCTCAGGCGTTCGGGGACAATCTTCTTGACTAATGCACTGAAAGCCAAACACGAAGACAGAAAAGCAGGTAAAGCAACATGCGTTGCTTTACGCACCCCTATACCTCCCAGTCGCACTGGGAGGGTTGCCTGATCCCATTGCTCATCCTCTAGTGACAGGTTCAGTGCCTTCTTGAAGGTTGATGTCAGGTGTGTGTCATATTCGTCAAGTGTTGGGTTGTCAAATATATATATATATATATATATATATATATATATATATATTATATATATATATATATATATATATATATATATATATATATATATATACGTAAAACTGGTAAATTAACAAGAACTCATTTAAAATTAAGTCCTTTCTAAAATTTTGTACATTTAAAGATGTATTTTTTTCATTTAGATACTTACTTAAGGAAACTTACCGAACCATATTATAAGAAGCACAATTTAATTTAGCCTAATCCAACTAAATATATTTTAGATAAGTTTACAATAATTTAATAATAAAAAAAAAACACAATGAAATACATATTTTTCTTCGTTAGGTTCAGAATGATTTTTGCGAAATTACTGTATACACAAATTTTCGCTTGCCTTATTTGGCAAGAAGAGCGTTGCTACTTAAGCCAAAATTGCAAGTTTTACGTATTCGGCACAACATAACCATATACAACGAACTTAAAAAACAGGAACACAAGTCGTAAGCTTTTCTTAAGACAGTTTCAGGCTGTGTGTAAGACTGTTAAGTCATACAGAGGTTACACTTAACACATTGGTCATGAAGGTGAGGTGGAAAACAACGAGTGGCAATGACATGTGGATAGAAGTCGCCTCGCTCAAACTACTTCCACATTGCTACCTTGCAGGAGGTTATGTGCGGGTTAACTGTGGCCACTGTACTATGTGATACAGTTGTAAATTGAGCGAAACGTTGTCCCTGTAAATGCTTGTTCCGCAACTTGTGGCTGTCTTCATACATGAAGGTAGCAGCCAATTTTATCCAGAATTTTCAACATCATGGAACATCGATAATAATAATAATAATAATAATAATAATAATAATAATAATAATAATAATAAAATAATAATAAAAATCTCTTCATGATGATAATTCTACAATTGCTCTCATTAACAAACATTTTTTTGATTCAATTCGATTTCAAAACAGAAAATGGATTAAATGTGGCAGCAAATAAAATTAATATTAGCTTGATTTTCTCATGCAAGAAAACGGACAAGTAAAGACTAGACTTAAATATCAGAGATTTTTACACGAAATCTAGCAATATACTTACCGTATTTTCTGGCATATAAGACGCACGAGAACATTAAACATGAAAGACGATGTTTCCAAGCAGTTGTAACGTAATGTTTTTAAAACTGTAACGTAATGTTAGTAAACTGCTGTAACACAAAGCCTACCCTTAACCCTGACCTTGAGCATATAAGGCGCAGGCTGATTTTCCAAGATTTTCTGTGGGACAAATAATCGCGCCTTATATGCCGGAAAATACGGTATATGGTTTGTTATTTAGTAATTCCGGAATTAATGTTGGAGATGTAGATTTTGTATGTGAGGGTGTGAGGTAGAAAGGGGGCCATTGCTGCTTCCTACTGCTAGAGGAGGATTACCACACCTGGGTTACTACACCTGTGCTCCATCTCGGGGGATGGAGGGGGGTGTTACAGCTGTCTCCCCCGGCTTAGGTTGGAGGGGCAGGGAGTCACTGATGCCGTCCCTCACTTATGGGGGTGTCACCCCTTCTGTGGTAATTTTTTACACAACTTCCTAAATGTAGAATATATAAATAAATAATATAATAATTGTGCATTAAAATGTGATGCTATTTAGACCCTTCAAGAAATTTCAAGTGAAGGGGTGTGTGGAAGAGCTGAAGACTGACGTGGGGGAGGGATGCCATATTGAATTTAATGTGTGTACACTGGTTATTACAATCGTCTAATAATCCTGGCGTCATAGAGTCCATAATGGGGTGTTTCGGCCAGGATATGTAAGAGGAACCCGTGTTAATGTTCCCTGCTGAAGAATTGGGACACGAAATTTCCGGAATTTCAAGAATTATGTGTGGATGGCAGAAGATAAGGGATGCAACATCACTCACAGGAAAGTGCGCCACAGTCCTTGTATTTAGATCACTAGCTGGCCAGTGTAAGGTCTCAGTGTTAGGCAGGTGTTGTGGTGTGATCCATCTACAATAATTAAATGGTAAGTGTTATGAATATTTTGTGTACCCAGCAAGTAAACCAAAATACCATACAGTCCACATAACTTTACTTAGCAGAGTAGCTGGTTTTAATATTATAATTATTAATTTATTGTGAAGAAGTGGGTAATCGAAGGAGTTGCAGTTCAGCAACCTACTGTGACTAAATCCTACTTACCTCACCCAAATTACTTGCAGGTAATAATTCAGGTGATGCCCTGTAAGTCTCCTGCAAGTGATTTGCTCAAAATAATAATAATAATAATAATAATAATAATAATAATAATAATAATAATAATAATAATAATAATAATTTTCACACCTTCCAGCCTCCCTCTCCCCTTGTCTCTGGGGATCACTTACATAGTCACCAGTTCCAGGTTAAGGTAACACTAAAACTTAATTGTTTTTCAGAATACACCTGGGTGAGGTAAATAATAATAATAATAATAATAATAATAATAATAATAATAATAATAAAATTTACTGTATAGATAAAGTTGCTGCACTTAAGGGTATATACGGTAAGTTCAGCATGTGTAAATATGAATAATATAATTGTGTATCAAAATGTGACTCTGATTTGACACTTCAAGATATTTTGTGGGAAGAAGGGTATGCAGCTGCCGCGGAGTGATACAGGGGGAAGAGTGAGGATACCATACGGGAAAAAGTCTGGGAATACTGGTTGTAACATTTTGTGTAATGTAATCAGGCGTCATCGAGGTCAAACTGGTGAATATTGGCCTCAATCTGTAATTTAGAAATTGCTGACATGTTCCTCGCTGAAGAACTGAGATAAATAGTGGGGAAAGGCCTTACAATTCGGCAACAAGGATGGAAAAATAGAGGACTCCGATTCCTCCCACCAGCACACCTTAGCTAAGTGACGCTTACCCATAACATACAGTAGTTTTGCGTTGGCCATCGTAAATTCTAGCTGTCAGGGTAGCGTTACGGTGTGTTCCACAAATAATAATTGTGATCCAGTAATTAAATAGTGAGTGCTCAGGTTAAATTTTCCTTTCTTTCTATTTATATAATAAGCATATATTTTTAGTAAAATGCGGCAGATCTTCCCCCTTTCTTTTCAAGTCACAAACCATTATACAGTCCACTCAATATCCTATAATTTACCAAGATTATTGATTTTAATTTTTGTTGTAATATTTGATAGGCCCGACTTTGTTTGTGGGTGGGAAAGTGTATGTGTGGGTCTCGGAGGAGAGACATGGTGCAGCCTAGTGTCTCTAAAATCCCACCTAGCTCTGAGCTACAACTAACATTGTTTCTTAGTTGTGCTCCCCTCAAATTATTTGGATGAACCTCATCCCCATATTTTCCCACAGTAGGTGAGGCAGACAAGACACTTACCCGGTAGGTGGGCTAAATCAGGAAATTTTGAGTAAAATAAAGGAAGACTCACCTCGTAAGTAAGGTAGAAGACAACCTCGTCTTGCTCCGCTACCGTCACGTCAACACGAAATTTTGTCGTTTCTCTCTCTCTGTAGGGGAGAAGAAGCCACATGTAGGATCATACCGTATAAGCTATGTGCAGTATCTCCCTATAATTTTATGCGAATTGTCAAAGCCTTGCAATCTGTCGTATATAATCCCAGATTTAGTGTAGCTGGCGCTGGATTATGGGAGGGTGGTTATGAGAAGACAGCTGGAAGTGAGAGGAATGGGCAAGGCGATGAATGTAAAAGGCTAGGCAATGAAAATCTGGACGTATGGCTCGAGGGAAGGAGTATGGAGGAAGTGAATTATGCATTCAGATGTTTGGGTGTTTCAGTAAAGTCAGTGAAACAGACCGTAAGATGGATAGTAGCAGGAGTGATGATGAGTTTGTGGGAAGACAGGATTGTCGGTGGATGCAAAGTAAACGGTGCTAGCACCTTTACATGTGTGTGAAAGCACTGTCTTTAGATGTTGCAGCGAGGAGGAGGAGGAGGAGGAGGAGGAGGAGGAGGAGGGGGAGGATGGAGGTAATCGAAATATCGTGACTGTTAGCAATGTTTGGTGGGAATTTTAGATAAGAGTAAAGAGTGATGAAATTAGCAGACAGTGTTTTGACACATGAAAGACATAATTAAAAATGTTGGGTTACTGAGAAATCACATACATTTGCAAGATAAGGTGATCGAAAAGGTGCATAAATCTTGGTTAGATGGAAAGTGAGCAAAACGTCTCAAGAATGGTTTGAAAGTGTGAAAAAGGGACTGATAGGAAGAAACTTGAGCATGTTTCGTTCTCTAACCACAGGTCATTTAGTGGTTTAAAAATCTGTGTTCCCATAAATTATACAAAATATAAACGGCATATTTTTAAAGCACTGTCTGAAATTTCAAGATCAGAACCCCTCAAGGAAGGTTCCTTGATGTTGGTGAGGGGCTCTTGATTTAGGGAATTGGATCTGTGCTCCAGTTCCCCGACTTAAGCCTGAATGCCTTCCACATCCCCCCCCCCAGGCGCTGTATAATCCTCCGGGTTTAGCGCTTCCCCCTTGATTATAATAATAATAATCAAGATCAGAATCTGTGAACACTGAGAAATGTTACATAAGAGCCTTCTATAAATCAAGTCATAAATTACGTTTAGATTTTAAAGATGTAACGATGATTTAAGATAAACTGGATCTAGTAAAAGCAAGTTTGTTTACCAGACAGGTATACTAGATTTATAATAGTTTAACTTTCATTCTGTCATTTTTCAGTTTTGTCTAAATATTTTTTCGCGTGTCTTCTTATTCCTTATTTTCTCATTCTTCACTCGACCTTCAACTGCAGCAGACATCCTCTTCTTATTGATAATTCTGTTTTCGTTTTACGGGAAGCAGAGCGAGTTTTCTGCCATGGACCGTTACACAAGATGGTTCTCCAGCAGTACTCTGCAACACGCTGGACTGGTTTCATGCCAGGGATAATGTTAACTGTCCGCCAGGGCTGGACGACTTTAATAGGACAATGAAGGATATCACCTCAACACGATTTCCTACCCTCTCCTCTGAACACCCCGTCGAACCCCTCCTCTCAGCACCACCTGAAACTCCTCCCCTCAACACCACCTCGAACTCCTCTCAACCATCTGTTACAGCTTCATTGTGTATCACTGTATAACTTATTCGGGTTTAACGCTTACAGTAATAATAATCATAATAATAATAATAATAATAATAATAATAATAATAATAATAATAATAATAATAATAATAATAATGACCTATATAGCGTTGTTTGATTCCTATGGGAAGAGTGATTTCCATATATATATAGTGATAATCTTCCATAGGTTTAATAGTTACAACCGAAAGGATTCTTTCCTGTGTCTTTCACAGTGAGAACGCCATTTTGGGTGTATCACTGTCAAATTTTATGGGGAAAAAATGGCGACATCATCATACTAAAAAATAAATTAACAGCTTACGAAGACCACAGACAGACGGAACCATAATAGTTGTAAAGCATCAATAAATAGACGTTGGATAGGAAGGTATACACGGACGACCAAAGACAGCAGCGCACTTAGCAATGTGGTGCAGCAACAGTCTCTATAATCAGCTTAATCGAGTACATCTTGCATAGAACAGAGCAAAGTTAAGTTCTAAATGCTCTGCATACCAGAATAAATGGTTATATTCATAATCATAATTTTTAAAGGGATGGAGGGGTAAGCCAGCGGAATGCATGTCTATCAGATGACCAAAAGTTCCAGCTTCGGGTTATCTTATGACTAAGACCCCGTCAGGAAACACTTGTCCTGTTTCCTAAAGAACCTTACCTAACCTATGTATGGGCTTTCCATGTCTTTATACTTTCTGCATAATGTTTTGAAAAAAAAAATTGATTCCAAAGTGACAGACTCAAGGGCAAGTTGCGCAGATGTACTCACAATGTAACATAATATTTGATTAATATCTTATGTTACATTCTGAAGACTGTGGGAAATTGGTTCACGTTTCGTGCATCCTAAATTTGGTTACTTTTGTTGCACATCACCAGACCATGAAGAAATTTGATCATGTCATTAGAAACACAACGCATCTCATACTTTTGTTTTGAAACTACAAAGTTTTTGAGATTAATTGTTTATATTACCTTCAGTTTCTATAAAAGTTGGAGAACTATTTGTGTGAAGGTGTGTCTGGCTTGATCAATTTTGCTTCCTTCCGAGCTAGATCATCCAGCTTTCTTTCCTTCATAACAGTAACAATCAGTTCTTTCTCCCACACCAAAGAAACTGAATGAAGAAATAAACACACACACACACACACACACACACACACACACACACACACACACACACACACACACACACACACACACACACACACACACGGACTCTTCGACAAATTACATACGAATATGACACCTCAAGAAATGCCTCAGACATAAACCCTCGGGAAACGACACGGTTATGACTCCTCAAAAAATGACACGGAAATGGGCTCTTAAAAATTATTCAGAGAGGAATGCCTTGACAAATAACACACAACCCTGACCTTATAAATGGCACATGCATAAGCTCTAGAATAATTACCAAAACGCATCAGTATCATACTTTAACAGCATAATTAACTGCATTAGCGTCAAAATCAACATGCTGCATAAAACTGAAACGCCTCGCGCTCGACATCGCTTCAAACAATTCTAAATTAGTTAAAGAAAGCACTAAAAAAGGAAAACTGTGATGCATGGGAGTTTATTATGGACACTTGCAATGTCTAGATGAATGTTTAGGTGAGTGCTGGTGAGTAGGTGGATGTTTAGGTGAGTGCTGGTGAGTAGGTGGATGTTTAGGTGAGTGCTGATGAGTAGGTGGATGTTTAGGTGAGTCCTGGTGAGTAGGTGAATGTTTAGGTGAGTGGTGGTGAGTAGGTGGATGTTTAGGTGAGTGCTGGTGAGTAGGTGGATGTTTAGGTGAGTGCTGGTGAGTAGGTGGATGTTTAGGTGAGTGCTGGTGAGTAGGTGGATGTTTAGGTGAGTGCTGGTGAGTAGGTGGATGTTTAGGTGAGTGCTGGTGAGTAGGTGAATGTTTAGGTGAGTGCTGGTGAGTAGGTGGATGTTTAGGTGAGTCCTGGTGAGTAGGTGAATGTTTAGGTGAGTGCTGGTGAGTAGGTGAATGTTTAGTGAGTTGTGGTGGATGTTTAGGTGAGTTTCTGGTGTGTAGGTGGATGTTTAGGTGAGTGCTGGTGAGTAGGTGGATGTTTAGGTGAGTGTTGGTGAGTAGGTGGATGTTTAGGTGAGTGCTGGTGAGTAGGTGGATGTTTAGGTGAGTGCTGGTGAGTAGGTGGATGTTTAGGTGAGTGCTGGTGAGTAGTGGATGTTTAGGTGAGTGCTGGTGAGTAGGTGAATGTTTAGGTGAGTGCTGGTGAGTAGGTGGATGTTTAGGTGAGTGCTGGTGAGTAGGTGAATGTTTAGGTGAGTGCTGGTGAGTAGGTGAATGTTTAGGTGAGTTGTGGTGGATGTTTAGGTGAGTTCTGGTGAGTAGGTGGATGTTTCGACGAGTTCCTGTGAGTAGGTTGATGTTTAGGTGAGTGCTGGTGAGTAGGTGGATGTTTAGGTGAGTGCTGGTGAGTAGGTGGATGTTTAGGTGAGTGCCGGTGAGTAGGTGGATGTTTAGGTGAGTGCTGGCGAGTAGGTGGGTGGACAACAGTTTTGGTAATCCCGCACCTCCTCCTAACTTCCAAACTACGAATTCTCTGCATTATATTCACACCACACATTGCCCTCAGACATGACATCTCCACTGCCTCCAGCCTTCTCCTCGCTGCAACATTCATCACCCATGCTTAACACCCATATAAGAGCGTTGGTAAAACTATACTCTCATACATTCCCCTCTTTGCCTCCAAGGACAAAGTTCTTTGTCTCCACAGACTCTAAGTGCACCACTCACCTTTTTCCCCTCATCAATTCTATGATTCACCTCAACTTTCATAGACCCATACGCTGAAACGTCCACTCCCAAATATCTGAATACATTCACCTCCTCCATACTCTCTCCTTCCAATCTGATATCCAGTCTTTCATCACCTAATCTTTTTGTTATCCTCATAATCTTACTCTTTCCTGTATTCACTTTTAATTTTCTTATTTTGCATTCCCTACCAAATTCATCCACCAATCTCTGCAACTTCTCTTCAGAATCTACCAAGAGCACAGTGTCATCAGCAAAGAGCAACTGTGACAACTCCCACTTTATGTGTGATTCTTATCTTTTAACTCCGCCTCTTGCAAGACCCTCGCATTTACTTCTCTTACAACCCCATCTATAAATATATTAAACAACCACGGTGACATCCACATCCTTGTCTAAGGCCTACTTTTACTGGGAAATAATTTCCTTTTTCCCTTTACATACTCTAATTTGAGCCTCAATATCCTCGTAAAAACTCTTCACTGCTTTCAGTAACCTACCTCCTATACCATACATCTGCAACATCTTGCCACATTGCCCCCCTATCCACCCTGTCTTACGCCTTTTCCAAATCCAATAAATGCCAAAGGGACCTCTTTAGCCTTATTT